TCTGCACACTGGCTATCTTATAAAAGCATACTTTTCCCTGGGTTTCTGGGGCATTGATGCACACATTGCTCAAGGCATATTTTTATGGTTTGTCAACAAGATAGCTTCCATAAAATACGCTCTGTCTCACAGCTGTGTATAATTTATTCTGTCTATCCATGCAGCACAAATAAAAATTTTATTTGCATCATCGGAAAGAAATACCAGTGTATAAATACATAAGCAAAGCTCATAGGAGATGGCACTGTGACCACAGTTCACTGCCAGGGGACCCAGGGTGGTAATGTGAGGCCAATTAAAAAGCCAAGAGATGGGGTCGCTACTGTGTGCTCATAGCTCCCAAAGACCGAGCTCGGCAAATCGCGCAGTTACTCAATCGCTCCGAGAGGTTGCGCAGTGTTCTACCAGTGTTGGCAAACCGGGCCTCTCAATTCTCCGTGGGGTATTTAGAAATGGAAGCTTCTTGGAAGGGGTCAAAATCCGCCCGGAAAGAGCTGCTCTTGGATCGAGCGAAGCACATGTGGGGGTGAAAAGGGAAATGGTGGGGGTTGGATAGTCTGTTTTCTGGAGGCCAAGTGGCTTTGGCCCCTGCTGCCACCAGGGTCCAAGAGAGAAGACTGCTCTTGGCATTTGGCCGGTGCAGCCTGAGCCTGCTTTGCAACCGGGAGGCTCCGCTCTGGGCAGATGGTGGCTGCTGTGAGTTGGTCCCGACTCACCACAACCCCACCTCGCGGCTTGTGCACAGCAGAGGGAGACCTTGTCCTGTCCTCGGCGGTGGCGGCGGCGGCAATGGGACCTTTGTGGTCCGTGAGTTTCCATTGCCCCCTTCCTGGCCCATCTTGGTCTGGAAGCTCTGAGCAAGCTTGGTCCACAGTATAGCAACAGGCCCATTTCCAACGACGCTGGCTGGCTGGCTAGATTGGGTAGGAATTGAACCTGAGCCCTGATGGTAGGTACTACATTAGGCTATTGGAATAACCACCAGCTGTTCCTTGGAAGAAAGACGGGGCTTTCTGACCCCCGGGAAACAGTTAACTCTTAGAAACCCACGGGAGCAGTTCTACCCTGTCCTGGGGGGTCCTTGGGAGCCGGCATGAACTCAATGATGGTGGATTTGAGTGGGTTGGGTCTGAATGAGGAGCAACAAGCCTATCACTATGGGTGGTGGTGGTCTGTGCCAGAAGGTCCCTTCTAGCTCCCAGCACCTCTGTAGGACAGGAGGACCACCTCAGAGGGGTTCCTAGGCTGTAACCTTAGGGGGACACATGGCCAGGCATGTCCTCTTCCTTGTGGATCTGCTGTCCCCCACCCCCCACCGACTGGTCAAGCCACCCTCCAGGTTCAGCCAGGGGCCCACCTTAGACCCAGCTGCTCCACTCAAGATGCTTTCCCTCAGTGTCTGAGGCCATGAGCAGGCCTCTTGGAGCTCTGAGGGCAGAGTCACCCTGCTTCTGCAGGGTGCCGAGGGCCATACAACACACCAGTTCACCAGGAGCATTGTGCAGTGGTGCTCCACCTTCCTCATGCCGTGGCCCTTTAGTACAGGTCCTCGTGCTGTGGTGACCCCCCAACCATAACATTATTTCCGTTGCTGCGTCATCACTGTAATTTTGCTACTGTTATGAATCGGGCCACCCCTGTGAAAGTGTCATTCGACCCCCAGGTTGAGAACCGCTGTTGTAGAGGGATTTAAACCGGTTCCTTCTGGTTCAACACTCTGCTTGTCATTCTCCCTCAACTTCACATACACCCACTGCTGTGGGGTTGATTCTGGCTGGTAGAAACCCTCTAGGGCAGAGCAGAACTGCCCCCTTGAGGTTTCTGAAGCGGTCAGTCCGTCAGTCTGTATGGAAGCAGGCTGCTTGTTCTCATGCCGGGTGGCTGGTGGGTTTGAACCTTACGGTTATAGGCCCCTTGCCTAGCGCACACAGCGCCCAGGTGCACTGGGTCAGGATCTGCATTTGAAGCAGACCCTCATGTGATTCTTGAATCTCTCGGGTGATTTTTGCATGTAGGAGCTTGTTGACATGTAGACTCGGATTCAGAATACGTGGGGTGAACCAGCAAATAGTCAATAGGGGGGTCAAACTGGAATAAACCGGAGGGAAGCCCTGTTAATATGTTTAAGAACTTTTCTGCCACTTACTGTAACCAGCCCCTTGAACAATTGAATTC